TTCTCAAATATTGCAAAAGCCCGATTTTTTGACACTTTGACCTCGATTTTCTCAAAACCTGTACGTGTTGGATCCTTTGTACTTACGGATTCGTAATCAGCACAAAAAAGTCTATCAAAAATAGCTTTAACATTTGTCGCACCAACATTTTTTTTTCATTTTTGTTGGCCTGTGTAATCAATTGAATTGAAAGATGAGAATACATCTTGAAGTAATTTATTTACTAGTTCATATTAAAAATTATAAGTAAAATTTATTTGATTATTAGGATTTGATACGACTTTCAATTCAAGAATATATTTTATTTTTAGATTTGGGATATGACTAATTAAAAATCACGCAACCCTGCTAAGTACTATCTGGAGGCCTCTAACTTAGAAATAGAGCCATAAAATATACATTTTAAAAGGAGGCCTATCGGACCATAAATACGGGGTTTTCAAATATCTCGATGGATTGATTCGGCTTCCATATTGCATTGTCATCGGATTCTGAGCTAAGTTTAAAGTTTCAAGTCTCTAGCGCATCGCGAAGTTGCTTAAGCATTGATTCCAAGATTTGATTACACACAGGTGAAACATAAAAAATCTTGACAAAATCACCATGCATCACTAATAGGGGGGAAAGGATTAAAAATGTTTAAAATGAGTTGTTACGAGATTAATAGATTACCAGCAGACGCGTTCAAGGTTTACAATTTACTCCCAAAATGAATGAAATAGTGAAACGCATTCTCCTCTCAACCGGGAACTACAAAGATGAATCTTAATCTGCATTATTAACTCAAAAGTACAGCTTTCTGGTAGTGACAGTATTTGAATAAATAAGCGATATGTATTTAAAAACGAAGCGGAAGAATCTGTTAAGTGCTGCATTGTAATTTGTTGAAATGTTTATTTACATTTATGTATTTCGCGACACAATAAAGTGTATTTTTCTACGGCCGCTAGTAAGTTTTTAGGGCAAAGCAAACATTTATTTACTTTCACATTTACATAGTATGTACATTGCATCGAAATAGCTTACCTGTATCGAAACAACCAGCTCGCAAACACGATAAGCCATGAGCAGCCATAACTCCGGCTGTGGGAAATCCACATTTAAGATGCACTTCGAATGCTAAATCCCACTTTTCGGCTTGCACCAACGAGTCGCCTAGTTTGCGCAGACTATGATTGTTCAGAGGACCTGGCGGTATTAGCGCCTCGCAACCATTTTGAACCACAGACATTATGATCGCCGAATGTTCGCGTATAGTTTCGATTTCAGGTGGGCCGCCACGCACCTACAAATGATAAAAACAAGTTTCAAATATTTGGCTTAAATCACTTATTAAATGTTTACCTTAGCAGCCAATGCGAGGCAGTTCATCATTTTTGCCACCAACTCGTAGTCTACCTCCGGATTCGGTACGAATAACTTTTCCAATTTGTGGCAGTGATACAGTAACAGATCGACACACTTTTGCTGCCCCTGATGAAATGCGAGTATGGACAGACATAACGCCACGCTGGGCGCATGTTCATAGCAAAACTCTTCGCGCAACAGCTTATCGTGCGTAATGTTGCCACATAGCTGCCACTTGTAAGCATCGTTTTCACGCACGCGTGGCCCCTTGCTAGACGCAGCGCCCTCGCCTTTCGTTTCGGCATCCATATCCTGTGCCCGCTTGCGCTGTTCCTCTTCAGTTTTGTTGAAACAGTCGTTGCAAACGCGCACCTCCACGTCATCGTACAGTTCGGGTATGCACATGCGATGCGCCGAACAAGCAAAACATACAACACGTCCGCATCGCCGACAGTGATGGCGACGCATAAGCATAGTAAAGGCAGCGCGATGACAGCACATGCAGTGGGTGGCATCATCATCGCGTACCCAATCGTCACGAGTCGGTGCCATCGGCGGCATTTGGAAAGCGCCGCACAGCGAATCTAGCGATTGTTGCATATCTGTGGTCTGTGAAATGCGCTCCGATGAGGAGGTTATGTCGGATACGTGATAGTCCAGCGCCTTGGTGCCGTAGATTCGGAGCAGCAAATCAATGCACTCATTAGTGATTACATGATTCTTCTGATACAGGTTGAAATTGAGTAAAATAAATGCAGAGCTCGTCGTGTGGCCGGTGTCTGTGCCCAAATGGAACTTAACTTTATGAGGTGCATTAGGACTGCGCGTGTGTATGTCATAAATGTGGCCGCGTTTGTCAAAGCAAAAGGAGCACACCTGCGCACTAGCGGCATCCACCTGCGAAAGTGCCCGCCGCACTGCCGCCAGCACTTTAGTTAGTGTCTCGAACTTGGTGTTCATCACCAATTGTTCAATGATCAGCAGTGGGTATTTGAATAGTTTCCAGAACGGAGCAAGTTCTCTGGGCGTTAGCTGTTCAAAAATCACTAAAGAAATTTTATAATTTCGATAGCTTTTATATTCGTTCGGATTG